CCCCCCCCCCCACCATCAGTAGTGTTTCTCATATTTAAAACCACGTCTCAGCTCTGAGTGAAGCAACATTTATGTTTTTACATGTTTAGTTCAGAATATACGATGTAAAATCACAAAAAAAAGCCAGAATGGAGTTAATATTTCACGCTAAATGAGTATATATATATATATATATATATATATATATAAAAAAAAGTGTGTGTGTATATATTGACAACAATTTGTAACTCATTTAGTGTGAAAGAACAGTTTGAGTTCATCAGTTTATTTATAAAAGTTGTTCCAGGTTTCGTCTTTTTGTTTCTTTTGATTTTTGTTCATCAGGTTGTTTTAGCTTCTTCTTCTTCTTCTTCTTCTACTTCTACTTCTTCTACTTTTCTAGATTTATTTCGGTGCTTTTAAGTTTGTTTATGCACAGAGTGTCTCTTTCTGACTGTACAGATAAAAACACATTTTAATGAGCATGTACGTTCATTCTTCACGTGTAACAAACTAACTTCAACTCACAGGTTCATCTAGTGTGTTGGAGCTTTCAGCTGCATCTCACTGGCCGCCTTCAGCAAATAGAGCTGCTGGTAAACACAAGGAAAGCTTTGTGAAGAACTCTTTGTGAAGAACTCTTTCACATCTGTGCGTAAATAAATCTTACCTGTTGCTCGTTATTTCTCATTGAGGCCAGTCAAACTAAACAAAAGTGTAAATATGTGAAAGTAAATGTTTCATACACGTGTAAAGGAAAGTAAACTGTATAAAGCTGTAGATTTATTTTCATAGACAGATTGGTTATGAAGCAGGTTGGTTAACTTTTAGCGCCATGACAGTGTTTTGGTAGAAGAGCGCAGAGCTCCTCTGCGATCATCGTGACGTTTCATCTCACAGTCCGCTCCGGAACGGTGTGTTCAGGCGCTCCTCACAAAACCTCGGACAAATCACGTGAAACTGGCTCACTTTGTTTCTAACCTACATGATTTGTTCTTGCGATTATTTTAACCGAGTTGACGAGGAGGAGCCTGAAGGCAACACGAGTTCACATCACGCTCTGAGCTGCCAACCAAACTGTAGAATTTGTTTTGGATATTAAAAGAAATTACAAAATTCTGTGTTTTATTTTGTGCCCATTGCACATTTTCTCTCCCTTCATTAGGTTCTGGTACCCGACGTGTAATTCTGGTACTAAATCACATTCATGTACATTCAATCAAACATCAGGATTAGTCTTAAAACCACTTGTGTATGTTCATTTATTTAGCACGTTCTAGCAAAGTGCTTCAGATGTTATAACATTTCTCTATATATTTCCCCAACAAATGAACATTTCCTCCTGTTTGTTTTAATAACTACAGAGAATCACTGATGAAACTGTATATTTGTGTTTTTAAATACTTGTGTTTTACGTCGTCAGTCGGAACAGGAAGTCATTTCAACTTTATTTATCTGTGAGTCTGTTTTTGAAGATATGAGCTTCTCCTCTGATGGTTAATGTTTCTATTCTGTACACAATATTAATGTGTTCATACGCAGGTCCAGTCATCCAGATGGTCTCGCTGTTTGTTCCCTTATGCCACTGTGTGTGTGTGTGTGTGTGTTACAGTACCCCCCCCCCTCCCCTTGTTTTACGGTCTGTTGAACAGAATCCTGAACATTGATTTTCCAGTTCTGTCAGTGTGACTTTGATACAGACGTTCAGACTCCCCAGAGGCTGAATCCTGATAACTCGTGACCTCCTTTTAGTCCAGCGGAGGCTGATGGGAACGGTTCTGCTGGTTTTAAATGTCGATGGTTCTGCTGGTTTTAAACCACGTTAAGATTGATCGGTACTATAGGAACAAACTAAGAAATTAAACGAATAAATCAAAAATAAATAAAATAATAATAAAATAAAGCCAGCGTGTAGGAGAATTTAGCATGTTCTTCTCTTAGAACCAGTATTTTGTTTGTCCATTTTTATACCAGGAGACAACCTCGGGTTCTTTAAAGTGAAGTCAAAGCTTCATGTGTTAAAGCTGCATTCT